AGAACAGTTGGATTTTGGACTGGTCCATTGCCATTAATAAAATACTAAATATGGTTAAAGTGTTACACCAATGGACCACACATTTGCCAACCCTGATGTAACACATGATTATTTTATTTGTAGCATTCTTTTATTTGCATTGTTTTATTTATCTTATTAATATATCTATGTCCTATAATTAAGGTTGCTTGCCAAAACTCCTCCAGAAATCAATCAGCAGGGTTTCAGCTAATTGTTTATTAGAGTTTCAGCAGAGTTTTGCATTTTGAGGTTTCACCATTTTGACATAGTTTCAATGGGATTTTTGATAAGATTTAATATAATTTTGCCATGGTTTCAGCAATTACTAAGGAGGTTTCGCCCACAACCTTACCTATAATCATCCAGATAGATTGATAAGTTTATTAAGTTTATATTATTATTTATATTAGTTTATATTATTATTTAGGAAAAAATTATGTATTTCTTATAAAAAGGACATCAAATTAAGTTAATAAAGATAACTTGTAATTTTTACAATAATTAAATTACTTAACTTGTTTAAATAAACTGTTTAAACATTTGAATGTTTAAAGAACTGTTCCTCTGGCATTGAACTCAGTTTCACTTTGTAAAATTGGAAAGTTTGCTAGAAGATGTTATAGATTTATGAATGCTTATAGATTAGGGCTTTCAGGAAAAGCTTTAATATTTGTAGCAAAAAACTCATAGAAAATTGCCAGAATTATGTTAATGGATGCAGATATATTATCATTGAATGTTGAATGATTGTTATATGCATCACGTGATAAAATTTGATCTATATTAGTTTTCTGATTGTTCAAATTAGTTTGATAGGCTAGTGGTTGTATCTGCCAAATGATATTCATTGATTATTCACTGATTATCTGGTTAATCGGGTGTTGAAAATTTTTCATTGATTAATTAATCAGGTGTTGAAAATACTAATCGTTTGTCAATTATCATGATGAGAAGAATCTTATAAATTCAAGTTCTGCTTTCACAGTTTGATTTCTACAATATAGTACATTTATTATATACAAAATAAAAGACACATATATTATTAACAATATTTATAAAAACAATTAAACAATGAAATCAATACAATGCAACAAAAAATAGTGTACCTCTCTCCATCAATAAACAACATGTCATTTTAGGAGAATCATACCAAACAACAACATTTATGCTTTCTTGTCTTGTAAAAAAAAATTTTTATTTGCATCCAAAAAAAAAAAAAAATCAATCACATCAATAAAATTTCATACACCTTATACACATGTGTAACAGACTTTTTTTCTTTAAAAACTAATATTGCAACGTAAGTGTCATTTATTTAAAAAGAATGGTTGTCATTCTAGTTTCTGATTTAATATTTATTTTTCAGGCAAAAGAAACGACCAATATCATCCGTAAGTGAATTATATCTTCAATAAGATTAAACTACCATTACTTTATTCTGATCTTGTATTTTCATAATATAATCAATAATCCAGGTTTTTGATCAAAATAAATTTGTTGAACCTGATAATGTTCAAAAAAATAATGAATCTGCTTATAATAAGTAAGTTATTTATTATTATTTTATTATATATTGATGTCTTATGTTAATATTTACTCTATTGTAGTCCACAGGTTGACTCAGCCATGAACATAAACAATGAAAGCAAGATATCTGAATCATGTGTTGAAGAACTCAAGGATGAGAATTATGAGGAAATAAAATTTGATCTTAATGATATTTCAATAGAATTGCAACACGAGCCAGCAGTGAAAGTATGTCACATGTTGGTTTTTAAATTTTTTGTGCATATCTCAGTTCAGTTTTCTTCTTTTTTTAGTGGGAAGTTGGTGATATTAACATAACAGATAGATTTCGGAATTATCAAAAAGATATACTCAGGAAGACAGAACAAGAAGGTTTAGATTACAAAAATATTTATGAACCTCTGTAGGTATTCTGAAATACAATCATTTTATAATGATTAAATCAAGATTTATTAAAAAAAACTTTCATCATTTCATTTAGAGCATTATCTTCAATCATTATTCTCAGCTTGCCATGTCCATATCCTAAGATATTTACAAATCAAGAATGGGCAGAAGTTATAAAATCAAATCCATATACTATTAAAAATTCCCTTCATGAAGCAACTTGTAACAATTTCATCAGTGAAGATGTTTTTATGAATGGTGGAAAAATGAAGCTAAGTAGAGATGTAGCACACTCATTCAATGACTTGTAAGTATGCAAGTTTCATCATCTTTTGTTTGTTATCTATGAGTTTGGGCTCACAACGTTTTTTCTTTGATACATTACATAGATATAATGGCTTATCAATGTCCCCATCAAAAATGATGGAAAGAATAACAGAAGAGGTGCATTGTTACATGTTTCTCTACTATGGTTGCTTGACAAAACTCCTCTGGAAATCAATCAGCAGAGTTTCAGCAGGTAACACACTAATTGTTTGTTAGAGTTTTGGCAGAGTTTCACATTTAGGGATTTTGACAATTAGCAGAGTTTCAGCAGGTTACACACTAATTGTTTATTAGAGTTTTGGCAGAGTTTTGGCAGTCATTAAGAGGTTTCAGCAAGCAACCTTATTCTCTACCCAATTACTAAACCCTTCTTTCTTAATCCTCTAAGGGAGTACAAACTTGTTCTGAACTGTGCTACATCAGGGTCAAGAAAAAGGCCTGACCTTTCTTGCGTAGTTGACAATATCACAATCCTCAACTCGGAAATAAAACATCTAAAATGCACACCACTCCAGCAGAAAAAAGACACCGTGAAAGCACAATTACAAGCCCGCAATTCAATTAATATGCAACTACAAAGAAAAGGTGGTCCAGCCAAAGCTGGTATATTTTTTAATATGGGTATGTGCTTACAAAGAAGCTGTTATATTTTGCAGTATGTACTGAATTAAGATTTTGTGATAATTAGGTGAATGGATGGAATCGTTTTTCATGGACCTAAAGTATGACAGATTATACTGTTCCTGGTTGTTTCTTAGAACAAAGCTAGTGGTTGAAAAGGCTTCAATCCCATTAGCAGAGTTTCCAATTAGCCATGTTATTGCTTTGGAAGTATGTGATATCTTTACTTAGAGTTTATAATGAAATAATTCTTATAACTTTATTCTTTTGCAATGTAGGAACATATTGGAAAGCTTGCAGAGAACTACAAATATTGGAATAGTCAAAATATTCAAAAGAATCAAAATGATCAAACTACACCACCTAGATCTTTCATGTGTAAATTTCCAAATACGCCACAAGTAAAATTGTTGCTTAAGTGATAAGGGTTTTAGTATTGTGGGATAGTAAATCTTGGACCTATCAATTACCCAGCTAATATTGACTAATTAGAACGAACTTACTACGGAAGTCATGTGATGTGCTAAATATATTATTGTAACGGCTACGCCGCAGATTGCGCAGTGAAAGACTATTCCTATTCATATTTCTATATTTAT